AACTGTTTCAAGTTCATTTGTCAGAATTTTGTTTGATGCTCTGGAAGAACATAGAAGAAGCATGAGACATGGCCCCATTCCTTCAAGAGTTAATGTAAATTTGCAAATGTAACTAATACATGTGAAATAATAATAATTTATTCTAGCATTTTATTAAATGCTAAGTTACGTGATTCTGATTCAGTGCTTCAGTGTGTACTTTGTGAGTAAATAGGAGAATAGTAAGGCTCAGTCTAGTCAGGCAAGGACTTCAAGAATGAGATGCAGTGTGACCTGAGCTGTGAAGAGTGGGTCGAGTACATCGTCAAAGGGGATATAGGACATTTAAGGGAAAGGAACAGGACACTCAAAGGCTCAAAAATCTGAGTATATTTGATATATATTCACAATACTATGAGAAGGATATTTACGTTGACCATCCTTTGAATACCACTGCTGAGCAACCAGTTTTGAATACCTTCTGAAAAGTTGAAAAAATATTATTTTAATGTTTTTCCAGTTTTATGGGGATATAATTGACATATAACATTATATTAGTTTAAGGTGTACAACATAATGGTTTGACATACTTTTGTATTATGAAGTTATTACCACAATAAGTTAACATCTACCAGCTCACATGATTTTAACTTGAAGTGTAATTGACACACAGTATCATGTTAGTTTCTAGTGTACAGTGTAATGATTCAATATTTGTATTTATTGTGAAATGATCATCACATTAGTCTAGTTAACATCTGTCACCACACATACATGTGTTTTGTTTTTAGTATTTACTTTTCTATCCCTTGAAACACAAAAACATCTTAATTAAATATTCTTAATTTATGAAAATTGCTAATCTTTTGTAGAAACTCTGCCTAATGACTTTTTTTTTTTTGGTACTGCTGGGCACATTTTTAGTCTTCCACATACAATTTTTTTATTGTGTTTAATTGATTTCCAGTGAAATGCTCTTTAGATAATCTGAATCAACATTACTGTCTTTATTTTTTGTATTGGGACCTGAAGTTCTTTCAAATAATATTTTGAACATTTTCTTTACTGTTAGCTTAAGCACAGCCACTGAAGTTAAGGGCTGACAAACAAATTTATAGTAAATTTCCTTTGAAGGAACTAATGCTCACTCAGTGCCCCATATGCTCTATTTTCTGTGATGGTCATGTGTTCAGTCATGTTATATAGTGGTTGTGTTCACAAGAAGGGTCAAAAGAAGAGAGGTAATTTCCTTTATGTTATTTTTAAAAATCATAACTAACCAGGCTTATTAAAATTATTCATAATTGTGCCTGCATTATAACATTATGGCAAAACACACTTATTTCATTGCTTTCTTAGGAATCAATATTTCTTCAAGTGAGTTGCATCAGAATTAAAGAACCTGTGATTAGAATCAATTGGGATGTTCATCAAAATTTGTATTCCTGAGTCCTATTCTTCAGGGTATGGAGGAGATGAGAGAATCTGCATTTTAACATACATGCCAGGGAATTCTATGTCTTGAAGTTTGAGAACCACTGCTTTAGGGAAATACCGTCTCAGATCTCTCCACAGCTGTGCTGCAGGGCCATGCATTGATACTCAGTAGATATTATCATTTGGAATCTTGCCTCAATTGGCATTTCATGGGACCTGTTTTGTTTTTGGAAATTACAGGATAAATTGAGCTTTTTTCTTATGAAAAAGTTACTTAAAAATTAGCTCTCTAGAAAAAAAATTAGAGGTCTTTGTGAAGTCTCTTTTTGTAATTTGGCATTATTGCCTTTTATCCCACAATAATTTCTACATTTTAAGTGTTTGGATTTATGTGCCTCTTTACTCAGATAAATTGACTATAGGACTCCACTCATGAAAGAGCAATATTTCTTAAGTTTTAGAAAGTTAAAAAGCGAGGCCCAGAAAGAGTAAATTTTGCCCCTTTCCATTGTTTCTAAGAATGGTATAAAATTACTTGTACAACTTAAGCCATTTATAATTTCATTCACTGCCTATTTTGGTGCATTTGTGACATGCTACATGCAGTTCTTGTGACTTAGAGAAATCATGACTTCAGCTTCTTGCTCCCTGCTTCTGGGTAGTGCTGAGCCACTTCGCACAGACTATGCGGCAGAGGACAGTGTGAGTGAGTCATTGATGTGGAAACCCATGGTTATTGTCTGTGGTGCAGGATAGCAGTGACTGCATACTCACAGGTAAAAAAAAACAAGAAACACAGTCAATCTAACAAGTGACATGAGTAAATAAGACAGAACTTAATCCTGAGAGAAAAAGGTGGTATTGTATGGAGCCTAAATGCTTTAAGAACAACTTAAGGTTGTTACTCAGGCTGGAGAGCCATCTCTACCATTAAAAAAAAATTATTGCATTTTTTACCATTACCATTTACTCCCCATATATCTCCCTGTGCCCCGCAATCACCACATTGTTGTCTATGTCCATGAGTCCTTTTTCCTTTTTGCACATTCCCTCTACCCTTAACCTCCCCTCCCTTAGCTGTTAAGCTGTCATACTGCTCTCCATCAATGAGTCTGTCTCTATTTTGCTTGTTCGTTCATTAGATTCCACAAATTGAGCAAAATCATATGATATTTATCTTTGTCTGACTGGCTTAGACCATCTTTTAAGTGATAAAAAAATTTGCTTTATTATAGTCAATGATGAGTCCTTTGTAGCTAACCACTTCCACATACCTATTGTTTTGACTTGGTCTTTGATCCCTTAGGTTGAGCCAGAATTTGTTTTGGGTTTTGACTTATAGGCTATAATATAAGATTAGTTTGCATTTGAAATGAAAATGACTGAGGCATGATTGATCAAATGGTGATTATTGATTTAAAAACACCTAGGTCAGCTTTCTGAAGGGACACTATTAAGGAGTCAAAATGGCTTTTGCAAACACATCTCAGTTTTTGTCTGCACAAATTGAAGAATGAAGAGGCCATTCCAAAAAACCATGCACTAAACATGATTGGCATAAAGGGGTTCCTCAGCATCATTCCATGGAGTTATTACAAACATGAATGAAAAACATCTTTCCTGGGGAAGGAAAAGATCTAGGACCAAGGTAAAGAGGAGCTTTCTTTCTTGCCCTGCCCCATTAATTTTATCTTTTTCATTTTATTTCACTAGAAATCTAATGAGCATTTCTCTGTGATAAACGTTGTGCTAACACTGGGAATGCAAAAAAGATTAAGATTTAGCTCAGAGTATTTTTAATGGCTTTGTGATACAATATACATAATTTACCCATTTGATGTATACAATTTAGTGGGGTTTTGTTTTTTTTTAGTATATTCACAGACTTCACAATATTCAATGTACTTCCAAGACTCATAACATTTCTTACTAAAAATTTTTTTAGGTCCAAAGTAGGAAAAATCCTCCTTGGCTTCATTCCTATGTCTTCTTCCATCAAAATAATGAGACCTACTATTTACTAAATACCAGCTATGAGCTCAACGTTGTGTGCCATTACTTTATAAATGTTATCTCATTATATGCTCCCAATAATCCTCAAAATAAGTTTTATTCCTGCCTTCTATATAATGACAATAATACCTGCACACATAGCATTTTTTGAGTATAATTATTATCTCATTTAATATATGTGGAAACTTACTTCTCTAGATTCCTTTTTTCCTTTTTACCCTTTCCCACTTATTAAATCTATAACTTTCACCTCTTGCTTCTTTCCCTAGTTCTTGAAGCTTGCCAGGCTTCTTTGTGAAGATGGAGAGAAATATAGGAGCAGTTAAGATTTTCAAGCTTCTGATGAGAATCATAAAGGCTAGATACTTTGTTTCCCAATTTTTTAAAAAATATTTTATTTATTTTTAGAGAAGGAAGGGAGGGAGAAAGAGAGAGAGAGAGAGAGAGAGAGAGAGAGAGAGAGAGAGAGAGAGAGACATCAATGTGTGGTTGCTGGGGGCCATGGCCTGCAACCCAGGCATGTGCCCTGACTGGGAATCGAACCTGCAATGCTTTGGTTCGCAGCCCTTGCTCAATCCACTGAACTATGCCAGCCAGGACCCTATTTCCCAAAAATTTTTAATGGGGGAGAGACTGCCCAGACACAGACACATGAGGTGAATGCCAGGCTACTGATGGGCTACTGCCAAAGACTAGTTCCTTTCAACCCTCGGTTCTGATTTACAGAGATATGAAAACATTTTCGATCTATAAACTTTTAGGTGTCTTATTTTTAATCTAAGATTTGTTTTTCCTCCTCGCAGATGGATCTAACTCTTTTACCAGTTAGCTAACTTCTCTGTACTTTGAAGTAATTCATGTGCAAATGTTTCTGTAATAAACTTGTTCTTTTGGAAACAAACATAACACAAACCATTTTTAAGTGCCCATGAAAATGTGTGTGTGATTGTGTGCTGAAGTATCAATGATATAAAGTAAGGAATAGAAAGAGGTTTCTGTAATTTTCGACAGATGTACAGCTAGAAAAAAATGCTCCTTCCCAAACCCCAGCACACAAAAATATTCGGGTTAGTTAACTTTCTAGCATTGACTTAGATATTTTATATATTTTCTGGTGAACAATTGACAATGGTTATTGAAGCCAATTTTTCTACTGGTACTAAATTCTAGGATGATGTTTTGTGATATATATTTTAGACTGTGGAAGAACATTGCTAATAAAACTGCTAATTAAAAGAAAAACTTTGCCAATCTTAATAATGAATAATTGAATCTGAACTATTTTAAATGAAGGGTGTAAATGAGGAAGAAGTTGAAGTGTCTATTTTAAAACTGTTTTTAAACCACTTAGGCTGGTTGTTTTTCTAATAAAATTACAGTTGGAATCTGCTATTTCATATTAGCTTTTTTGATAACTGCTTCTTTAATATTTAGTATTTTTTTAAGCATGGATAGTTATATTTTATTTGTCCCTCTATGTATCACATATTGTCATTCTAAGTATGAAATTTTCCCAGTGATAAGCAAAGAGACAAGTATCCTAATGGCTTTATTTTATTTTGTTTTCCTAGGAGTCAGAGAATAATAAGTTATGTTCCCTATATTCCTTCCGAAATACCTCTACCTCACCACATAAGCCTGACGAAGGGAGTCGGGACCGTGAGATAATGACCAGTGTTACGTTTGGAACCCCAGAGCGCCGCAAAGGGAGCCTTGCTGATGTGGTGGACACACTGAAACAGAAGAAGCTTGAGGAAATGACTCGGACTGAACAAGAAGGTACGTGTGGACTTAACTGTTGGGCTTTATTCTTTTAAAGATTCCAGGCCTTAAAAAAAATGTGGGATTTCAAGGGCCAGAGGAGAGCATAATTGGCGTTATCTAGGAAAAAGTTATTCAGGGGTTGCTGTGGTGTGGGCAGATTGTGATTCATTAAGAGTATTAAGCAGGTAGCTCCATTTTGGTAAAACTGTGCATTTTATTCGTTCCTATGATAACAAATCAAGGTTTTAAACTAACTGTAAGCCTTTCCCTGAAAAAAGGTAGTATAATAATGTTTCCAGCTGCAACTTTATTTTTAATTTTTGCCCCTTATTCCCTTTTGATGGGTAGTGTTTAATTATGAAAATATCAACTGCTTAAAAAGCAAAAATAAAACCGAAAACAATGTCTTTCTTCTCATTTTTATAAATATCATAAACAGTATTAGTTTGCCTCCAGATGTTGTGGAATTGAGATTTGAAGGTTTCTAAGACTTAGAGCTAAATGCTCAAGTGGGAGGTGCTTTGACCCATGACATCTTTTCCGGTATTGCATCTCCACTGTGTCTACATTCTCCACAAGAATCCACTCAGGTTCGAATATGTCCTGAAAGATAGATGAAAGACTCTTTAATAACATTTTCAATTAAATAAATCAAATCTAAGTGATTGCTAAAGTATGTATGGTCTTTCATTTTTTATGTGCGGATTTTAGATTTTTAAAATGTAGGGTAATTAATGATTTTGGATTTATTACTAACACTGTAAGTTAAACTTAAAACTCTGTGACACTGTGGGGAAATAGAGATTTGATATAAGGGAATTTTTCATTTATCTTAATTTTATTCCTTCAAGGGCCCAAAAGTTTAAACTCTCAGATTAATTTTTGTGGATGTGTTCAGCCCATCGTCAGTTTTTGCGGAAGCTTCTAAAGTGTATTATGCACTTTTCTGTCTTACTGACCACATTATATAGCATACAATGTAAATATTATGTGATGACTTGGAGTCATGGTTCAGTAGACTGTGAACTACAATACCTAATAATTAATGTGGCCCTGTACAAGTTCCACAATCTCCCTGAGCCAAAAAATTTTAAACTGGACATGGTACCAATACCTGACTTGGTAACTTAAACATTTTGAGAATTAACTATAATAATGAATATAAAGGTTTTTTTATGAACTGCAAACTACATAAATTTGAAGTGTTATGATGATTATCATATTATAAATGTCAGTTATTTTACTATGCTATAATGTAATGATGGCCCCAGAGATCATTGGGATAGTTAGGACTGTTTGGTTTTATGGCTATTTCTTTGCAATTATGTAACCTTGGAGTTCTTGTGTCTGCTTGAGATAGATATTTTTCAGCATGTGTGTTTGTGTTGGTTTCTCCTCTTTAGGTTGCAGGCTGCTACTTCTTGCTTAGTTGTGAATAATTTATAATTTTCTCCTATTAATCTATAAATTATGAAATCAGATGATCATGACATGCTGGACTATATTTAAAATATGAACAAATATATCTGGGTGAATTACTGAGAGATTCCAGGTAATATGCATGGTCTTTAGTGCATGGAATCATGCTAACTCTTCTGACTGCTTATTATTTTCTGCATTTTTGGCTATATTTTAGAGTAATTGAGGCTGCCAGATCAATAATCTCTGAAAAAGTGAGATTGCTAGATTACTTTTATGATTCACCAGAAAGATGGTTTTAGTTCTATAAGATAGTAGTTTTCAAAATACGTTAGAGGACTCTTTAGTATAAAAATAAAGAAATTGATTTCTTGTGATTTTTTTGTCCAGATTACAAAGGAATTTAAAATCATTTTTCTGTTGTAAGTAGTGGTTTTCTGTTGTAAGTAGTGGTTAGTTTTATACTCTTCCTTTTCATCACTGTTATAAATTTGATGGAAGAGATACACTTAGGATATGAGACCTCCAATTTAAGAGTTCTTTATCATCATATTCCTACTATTGAAGAATGTCTTCTATGTACTTCACAAAACTTTGATTGTTTTCTACAGTACATATATTTTAGGCATCAGAATTCAGGGGTTTTTAGTGTATGTTGATGCATAAAATATTGTAAATACAAATATTAAAATGTGACAGTCATGCTTGTCAAACTTACAGATACCACAAATCTGGGAGAAACAGTGAATAATATATGAAAGAAACAAAACAAAAGATAAACTGAAAATATGGACTTAAAATTAACCTTCAGAATAAAATTTAATACATCGTATTATCAAGTCCAGAGGTTGTGAACAAAACTCCCAGCTTCTCAAGTGATTACTGAAGGAAATTCAAATAACAGACACATTAATTTTAAAAAAAGCTTATGAGTTTAAGGTGACAGAAAGGGCAGTGGAGTTAGCATGATGAATATTGCTAAAAAATTGCCAATGCTATCTCAGTCAGCATTACTAAAATTACAGTATGTAGCAAAGAGGTGGTAATCCCAGTGAACTCCCTGATCAACAGAATGCATCTGAAATATTGTGTTGAGTTGAGAATTACCACACTTTACAAGAGACTCAAAATATTCTCAGAGGAGAACAGTTGACGTGATAACAGATGCAAAGTTATATAATGAGGAATGGGTGAAGGAACTAGTAATATTAACCCTGGAGAAAAGAAAATCAAGGATGACATGATGGTTGTCTCTAAAGATTAAAGTCATATGGAGTAGGGATTGAATTTATTCTATCTAATTCCCTGGGGATAGAATGCAAATCAGTGATAAGTTACAAGGAACCATAATATTGTTTATAATACAACCAACTATTGAGTAGTTAGTTGTAGCTGTCCATATTATCAGCTTTATTCTTTGGAGGATAATAAGTTGTCCTTGGAGGTATGCAACAATCTTTTTTTCCTTCTGTTTAGCTTTTTAAAAAATTATTGACACTATTTACGGATGTCCCCCATTCCTCCACCCTTTGTTCACCTTCACCAAGACCCCACCTCCCCTCCCCCGGCCTTCACCATGCTATTGTCTGTGTCTGTGGGCTATGCATATATATTCTTTGGCTAATTTCTTCACCTTCTTTTATACAGTCCTGCCCCTACCCTTGCTCCTCTGAGATCTGTCTGTCTGTTCTATGCATCCATGTCTCTGGTTCTAGTGAGTTCATCAGTTTATTTTGTTTTTTAGATTCCACATATAAGTGAGATCATATGGTATTTGTCATAATTGCATTTTAATAAGGCTATTGTAAAGGACAGAGAATTAGTTTTTTCCAATGCTAGGGCTATTAATTTTTATGAACACTATGTTTATACAATATTTCTGTAGTTCATAGTACACTTTTATAGTCCTATTCAAGAACTGCATGTATCATGATTATTTTTCTATAAGTTCTTTATTTCTTATTTTGTGAAGTGCTGTATTGGAAATGAGAGATTCTCACCCACTAATTCCTGCCTCCCAGCCCCCATGGATCCTTTTAATAAGTCTAGGTAAATCTACAGGTTCTTTCTTATTTTGAAAGCATAAAGTAAAATCCATAGAATTATAGAGAAAATGAATTATATTAAAATTTGAAATCTTAAATTTTGTGATATGGTATAAGATACTACTTTACAATAAGAGCTAGTGGAAGGACTAAAAACAATAAGAGCTAATGGAGGGACTAACATATCATAATTTTGAAGTAGCGATAAACATAAATGATATTTTGAGATATCTTCATCAAGTACAATATCATAAAATATATTGTGATTGTATTAGTTACAATGTCACAAATACTATGAGTGTTTTGTGGTTTGTTGCCTGCATCCATGATTTAAGAAAATATAAAATTTTGATTAAAGGTTAGTGAATTGTTTTATCTGAGTTCATAGCGTCCCCATATTTTGTAGATGGATTCTTGGACTCTGTGGACCCTAGGTTAAGAACCTCTATGCTACGTGATATGGGCCACCAATAGTGAATGAAACAGCCTTTAACTTTAAAGAGTTTATATTCTTGTAAGAGGTATAAGACATGTAAAAATGAACTATAATTAAGTATCTAATATGTGATAAGTTCCATGAGAGCTCTATCAATAAAATGTTATAGGAGTTTACAAGCTAGATTGCACCTGCCTAGAAAGCCATGGAAAACTTCTTTAGGGAAATGGATCTTAACCAGTCTTAGAGAGTGAAAGGATTTATATAGGCAGAAATAGAGGGGAGGTGCATTTCAGGCAGAAGGAACAGGCAGAGATCTTTAAAACACCCAACAGTTCAGGATCTAATTAAAAGTAGTAGGAGAGTTGTGGTAGAGTGGAACTACAAAAACAGCCAGTAAACAATGAACTCAATGACAGTAAGTACATTCTCATAATAATTACTTTAAAAGTAAGTGGACTCCTGGCTGGTGTGGCTCAGTGGATTGAGCACTGAACTGCAAAGGAAAGGGTCACCTGTTTGATTCCCAGTCAGGGCAAATACCTGGGTTTTGGGCCAGGTCCACATTGGGGGGGGGGAGTGAGGGGCAACCACACATTGGTGTTTCTCTCTCCCTCTGTTTCTCTCCCTCCCTCTCTTTCTAAAAGTAAATAAAATCTTTTTTAAAAAGTAAATGGACTAAATTCTGTACTCAAAATACATAGAGTGGCTGAATGGATTAAAAAAAGGAGACCCATTTACATGCTGCCTGCAATAGACTCAGTTTAGATGTAAAGACACATGGAGACTAAAAGTGAAGGGATGGAAAAAGATATTCCATGCAAATGGAAACCAAAGGAAAGCTAGAGTAGCTATCTTATTTCATTAAAAAATAGATTTTAAAACAAACTGTAGTAAGAGATAAAGATAAGCATTATATAATTATATAGGGGTCAATCTAACAAGAGAATACAATGTATAAATATATATGAACCCAATACAGGAGGACCTAAATATATAATTATTAGCAGACCTAAAGGGAGAAATAGATAACAATATAATAGTATTAGGATATTTTTTAATACCCCACTTATATCAATGGATAGATCTTCCAGACAGAAAATCAATAAGGAAAC